CTTTAGGTGAAAGTTTACAGCTGAAGTTAGTTTCTCATACAAAAATTTATACACACATTGTTATGTGACCCTAGTTGCTGTCCCTATAATGTCACAGCACACTTCTCCTTTCCACCTTGGATTTCCCCTGTCCATTCAACCAACCCCTATCCCTTTCTGCCTTCTCATCTCGCCTCTGGACAGGAGCTACCTACTTAGTCTCGTGTATCTACTTGAACTAAGAAGCACACTCTTTACGAGTATCATTTTATGTCTTATAGTCCAGTAGTGTCTTGTAGTTTTCTTTGTATAGGTCTTTTACGTCTCTGGTTAGATTTATTCCTAAGTATTTCATCTTCTTGGGGGTTGTTGTAAATGGTATTGATTTGGTGATTTCCTGTTCGAAGTTCTCTTTGTTGGTGTAGAGGAATCCAACTGGTTTTTGTATGTTTATCTTGTATCCTGATACTTTGCTGAAATCTTCTATTAATTCCAGTAGTTTTCTGGTGGATTCTTTGGGGTATTCTGTGTATAAGATCATATCATCTGCAAATAGGGATACTTTGACTTCTTCCTTACCAGTTTAGATGCCTTTTCTTTTTCTAGCCTAATTGCTCTGGCTAGGACCTCCAGCATACTGTTGAATAAGAGTGTTGATAAAGGGTATCCTTGTCTGGTTCCCCATTCTAAGAGGAATGCTTTCAGATGCTTTCCATTTAGGATGATGTTGGCTGTTGGCTTTGTATACATGCCCTTTATTATGTTGAGGAATTTCCCTTCTATTCCTATTTTGCTGAGAGTTTTTATCACGAATGAGTGTTAGACTTTGTCAAATGCCTCTTCTGCATCAATTCATAAGATCATGTGGTTCTTGTCTTTTGTTTTATTTATGGGATGGAGTACATTGATTGTTTTTTTATTGGTGAACCATCCCTGCATACCTGGTGTGAATCCCACTTTGTCATGGTGAATTATTTTTTTGATATGTTGTTGAATTCTATTAGCTAGAATTTTGTTGAGGATTTTTGCATGTATGTTCATGAGAGATATATTGGTCTGTAATTTTCTTTTTTTGTGGTGTCTTTACCTGGTTTTGGTATCACGGTTATGCTAGCTTCATAGAATGAGTTTGGAAGTATTCCATCCTTTTCTGTGCTCTGAAATACCTTTAGTAGTAGTGGTGTTAACTCTTTTCTGAAAGTTTGGTTGAATTCTCCAGTGAAGCCATCAGGGCCAGGGTTTTTTCTTTGTTGGAACTTTTTAATTACTTTTTCGATCTCTTCTTTTGTTGTAGGTTTTTAGTTGTTATAGGTTTATTTGTTGTTTGTGTTAGTTTAGTTAGGTAGTGTGTTTCTAGAAATTTGTCCATTTCCTCTAGGTTTTCAAATTTGTTAGAGTACAATTTTTCATAGTATTCTGTTATGATTCTTTTAATTTCTGTTGAGTCTTTTGTGATACCGTCCATCTTATTTCTTATTTGGGTTATTTGCTTCCGCTCCTGTTTTTCTTTTGTCATTTTGGCCAGTGGTTTATTGATTTTGTTGATCTTTTCATAGAACCAACTTTTGGTCTTGTTAACTCTTTCAGTTGTTTTTCTGTTCTTTATTTCATTTAATTTTGCTGTAATTTTTACTATTTGCTTTCTTCTAGTGCCCAAGGGCTTCTTTTGCTGCTCTCTTTCTATTTGTTCGACTTGTAGGGTTAATGTTTTGATTTTGGCTCTTTCTGCTTTTTGGATGTGTGCATTTATTGCTATAAAGTGACCTCTGAGCACTGCTTTTGCTGTGTCCCAGTAGTTTTCGAGCAAGGTGTTGTTCAGTTCCCATGTGTTTGATTTTTTTTCCTTGCTTTTTCTGTTATTGATTTCTGCTTTAATGGCTTTATGGTCAGAAAAGATGCTTTGTAATATTTTGATGGTTTTGATTCTTTTAAAGCTTGCTTTGTGGCCTAATATGTGTTCTGTTCTGGAGAATATTCCATGTGTATTGGAAAAGAAAGTATACTTGACTGCTGTTGAGTGGAGTGTTCGGTATATGTCTGTGAAATCAAGTTGGTTGATTGTAGCATTTAGATCTTCCATGTCTTTACTGAGCTATATTCTGGATGTTCTGTCCTTCACCATGATTACGTGTTCTTAATGACTACCATTTATTATTCTTTTATCCCTTTAAAGGCTTGACTAAAACACAACTTAACCTCTTCATGCTGTATTTTAGATTCTGGTTCTTGTGTTAGTCTCAGAGTTACTTGAGTGAAATGTTCTTATTAGTGTCATAAAAGCCAGAATAGCCTCTTGATCTACATTTTTTTTTATTATGCATTATGTGAGGTTTACAGAGCAAATTAGTTTCTCATTAAATAATTAATACACATATTGTTTTGTGACATTGATTGCCAACCTCGGGATGTGTCAGCACTCCCCTTCTCGACCTTGGGTTCCCCATTTCCATTCGTCCAGCTTTCCTGTCCCCTCCTGCCTTCTTATTCTTGACCCTGGGCTGGTGTGCCTGTTTAGCCTTGTATACATGGTTGAGCTACGTGTGTTATTGTTTGTTTTATAGGCCTGTCTAATCTTTGGCTGAAAGGTAAACCTCAGGAATGACTTCAGTACTGAGTTAAAAGGGTGTTCCGGGGGGGTCATACTCTTGGGGTTTCTCCAGCCTCCATCAAGCCAGTAAGTCTGGTCTTTTTTTTTTTTTTTTTTTGGGGGAGTTTGAATTTTGTTCAACATTTTTCTCCAGCTTTGTCCAGGACCCTCTATTGTGATACTGTCAGAGCAGCTGGTGGTGGTAGCCAGGCATCATCTAGCTATGCTGGACTCAAGTCTGGTGGAGGCTGTGGTAGTTGTAGTGCATTAGTCCTTTGGACTAATCTTTCCCTCGTGTCTTTGGTTTTCTTCATTCTCCCTTGCTCCAAACGGGGTGGGACTAGTAGATGTATCTTAGATGGCCGCCCACAAGCTTTTAAGACCCCAGACACTACTCACCAAAGTAGGATGTCGAACATTTTCCTTATAAACTATGTTATGCCAGTTGAGCTAGATGTCTCCTGAGACCATGGTCCCCAGCCCTCAGCCCTGTAACTAGGTCCCTATGGGAGTTTGGGTGTGTCTATGAAGCTTCTATGACTTTGCCTTGGTCAAGTTGTGCTGGCTTCACCAGTATTGTGTACTGTCTTACTCTTCACCAAAGTAACCACTTAATCTATTATCTAGTTAGTGTTTTTCTCTCCCCACCCATCCTTGTAGCCATCAAAGATTTGTTTTTTTCTGTGTGTAAACTTTTTCATGAGTTTTTATAATAGTGGTTTCATACAGTATTTGTCCTTTCGTGATTGACTTATTTCACTCAACATAATGCTCTCCAGATTAATCTGTGTTGTGATATGTTTTGCAGATTCATCATTGTTTTTTTATCATTGCATAATATTCCATTGTGTGTATGTACCATAGTTTGTTTATCATTCATCTGTTGATGGGCATGTAGGTTGTTTCCATCTTTTTACTATTGTGAATAATGCTTCAGTGAACATGAGTGTGCATGTCTATTCGTGTGACGGCTCTTACTTCTCTAGAATATATTCCTAGGAGTGGGATTGCTAGATCATATGGTATTTCTGTTTCTGACTTTTTTAAAGGAAGCACCATATCGTTTTCCAAAATGGTTGTACCATTTTGCATTCACACCATACCCCCCAAAAAAACCAAACCAGTTGCCGTCAAGTCAGTTCCAACTGATAGCGACCACATAGGGTTTCCAAGCCTCTAAATCTCTCTGGAAGCAGACTGCCACATCTTTCTCCCGTGCAGCTGCTGATGGTTTTGAACTGCTGACCTTTCAGTTAGCAGTTGATTGCTTTAACCCATTGCGCCCCAGGGCTCCTAGTTGGATCATGAGCAGTATTAAATTTGAAATTTAATCAGTCATTTACTTGTATTTTCAGAAGTTCTTTAGAAATGTTCTGTCCCCCTCCTTGAAATTTTTCTGATCTTGTAATATGTGAGAAATGTAATTGAGTTTCTGAAATTACCTTTGAACTCTTAAAAAATAAAAATGTACATACAGTTTATGACGTGAATGAACCTTGGCAGTCAGAATTTCCATTCCAAACTGCCTTTTACATTCTTTGCTCCCTTCTCCCACAGACCAGAAGTTACTTTGAAATGAAGTAGTTGAAGGGAAAATAGGGAGAATTATTCTCTGGGCTGCCCATGTTCTGGAAAGAAATGTGGAAGAAAGATTTTGAGGTCTTTCTGTTCTTTGTTTTTCAGGTGTTATTGATTTAAAAAAATATTCATATATATGAATTCATGTGTGTGTATATATATAACATTTTCCATATTCTTTTAGGAAATTAGTGTTTTCACGTATTTGTTTAATCTTTGTAGCAATTCTTAAAACTTTATAAGGTGGTTAACTATGTTAGAATGACTTGCCAGTCTACTACTTTTCCTTTTTGTAATAAAGAACGGTAATGATTTTCATATAAAATTGAATATATAAGTATCTCAGCCAAATAACCTGAAAATCTTAACTGTGGCTATGTATCTATTTTAAGTTGATTTTTAAATATATACATATTAAACATACCAGTTGACATTCATTTTAAAATTAGATAAGTTTTTGTTTTTTGGTGTTGCTTTTTTTTTTTTTTTAAATAAAACTGGATTATAAAATGAAGCACTGTTAGTACAGCTAATGGCCTAGGTATCAGATCTTTCATTTTGGGTAGAGGAAATTGGAAAGGGCATTATAGCTATGATTTCATTAAACTAGAGAGTATTGGTGTTCACATTTTAAAAACATAATCATAACTTACTTAGAGTCACATGTTCCATTTTATTGGCTTCCTTCATATAGAAAATATAGTTACCAGCACTAAATGCCTGTGAAAAAGTGAAGCAGTGTATATTTTCTGGGTGAAGGAAGTATTCTGTACATTTTCCATGTTTACATCATGGTATTTTGAATAACCATGCTTCCATGTTCACATCAATTTTTTGTTTTTCAATTTATGCACAGCACTTGCTCTGAAATTTGGGGACTGAGTACACCAAATACGATAGATCAGTGGGATACAACAGGCCTTTACAGCTTCTCTGAACAAACCAGGTGAATATTCTGCCCTCTGTCGAATCCTAGAGATCTTGTGGGAGGGGGGATGTTTTGGAGGACCTATAGTGGGTTGCTTAGTATAATTTTTGCCTAGGATGTTTCCTTTATGTAAAATACGGCATAGCATTTAAAGTATTTGCTTGCCAGTTCTGAAAGTATATTAAATGTTTCAGCTGATGTTTTGATCAATGAAGTTCTATTTTTGAATCTTTAAATCATTGCATCCCCTAAAGAACAGGAACTTTGATAACTATATACTCATTTTAGTTTGAGATTCTACTCTCTTGTCGGCCTAATTTTTTAGTAGTTACGTATCCAGTTTGCTCTAAATTTCTTGCTATCATCTAAATCTCATCTTCTTTATGCTAATAAATATATAGAGTTATTTACTGAACCCCTTGTATCACAATTATTGCTAGGCTAACTTGTTTTTTATGTTTTTTTTTTTTTTTTTAATCACCTTATTCTCTTTTTTGAGCATATTGGTATTTGTCCATTTCATCTCATCATATTCATCACCATCTGCGTTTATGTGTGAGCTATATAAATATACCTCAGTACTCAAAATAGTCACAACTGGGTAATGAGTTACATTAGACTGAGTAAGTTACTATCACATCATTGTTGGTATTTACCATTCTTCACACTAGTTCCTTTTTTTGATAATTCAGCCACCTGCAGAATTAATGCCCTTTAAAGCATTCCTCCGTAAGAGTTCAATTTACTGAAATGGAAGTTGACAAAAAGTTTTTCAAGTCACACTGTAAGCTATTCTAAAAATCAGTTTTTTTCTAAGTGGGTAGCCATTCATTTACATTGAGTCATTTATGTAGCATATTTATAAGAAACTTCTAGTACTGCTGCTGATTTTTGTATCAGATCCATTAAATAGTACACATTTTCCTTCCTTATTTCCACTAAAACTAACTAAATGTCTGTCATTCCTTTCTTTATGCTCTTCGTGTACTAATCTAGCCCATTTGACTATACCTTTTTTTTTAAAGTTCCCTTGTTTCTTTTCCCGTTACTTTTCACAGGTCTCTTGATGGTCGTCTTCAGGTATCTCATCGAAAAGGATTGCCACATGTTATATATTGCCGATTATGGCGCTGGCCAGATCTTCACAGTCATCATGAACTCAAAGCAATTGAAAACTGCGAATATGCTTTTAATCTTAAAAAGGATGAAGTATGTGTAAACCCTTACCACTATCAGAGAGTTGAGACACCAGGTAGGGAAATTGCAGTTTTTCTTCCTTGTTTTAAATTAAATGCTTGAATTTAAGTATATCTAGGTACGCTTGTGACTTAGAGAAATTTTACTATAAAATTCTAATAAATTACCCTAAATTCAGTATATTACTTGGTGGTAATTAAAAATACTATTTTTATATTTAAATTTTCTTCATGGAAAAACATATCTTAGAAAGATGTATCTGTTTCTTATTATTCAGCATCAAGATACATATCCAGGAAATACTGATCCTACAGATTTGCAGTTTGGCTTAGAATTAAACTTACATACCTCTGTACTTCTTTGATACAGTAACTGTTTTCAAGCATTTTCCTCTTTGAATGGCTTTAGAAGTACTTTAATGACATGATTTGTATATAAACAGTTTAGTAAAGCCTATACCAAGACTTAGTTTACTTAGTTAGCTGTGTATTTGAAACTGGTTTTTTAAAAAAATTGTATCTGGTTTTTACAAATTCAGTCAAGTTTTTTCTCAGCTTTTCCAATGGAGAACTTAGGAACTTTTATGGTAATATAATACCAGAATCACATTGTCCCCAGAACTCTGAGATAAATCGAGACTTGGAAATTTAGATTGTAGACTACCTGGTAACTTAAAGCTGTAATTAAATTTGTCAGTTTCTTAATAACTAGCATAATATCAAATAGGTGGACTCTGAAAGTAATTGCTATCAAGTTGATTCTGATTTATGGTGACCCCATACATATCACAGTAGAACTGTGCTCCATGGGGTTTTCAATGGCTGGTTTTTTGGAAGTAGATCACTAGGCCTTTCTTCTGAGATGCCTCTGAGTGGAGTTGAACCTCCAGCCTTTCAGTTAGCATGTTAACTGTTTACACCACCTAGGGACCCCAGATGGACTCTAACTTTTAAAAATTAAGCTTTTTGCTTTTTATTTTTGATGAAAACTTTCTTGTAGAAAATTCCCCCATTTTCTCCTTGCCATTAACTCTAGTTTATTTTACTGTTTCAGTTTTGCCTCCAGTATTAGTGCCACGGCACACTGAGATCTTAACAGAACTGCCGCCTCTGGATGATTATACTCACTCCATTCCAGAAAACACTAATTTCCCAGCGGGAATTGAGCCACAGAGTAATTACATCCCAGGTATTTTTTGGCTTCTGAGTCTCCTAGAGCTTGGGTAGATACAAATTTTGTTCCTAAACATTCAAATATTAGTAAATTGAGGTTTGACTTTTTTAAAAAAGCTTCTGGATTTAGAATAGAAAAGTCTGGTTTGTTGGGTGACTATTTTATGAAATGTGTATGAGTAGTACAGAACATTTTTGTCTTGAGAAAAGTTTTACTTTATATTTCATTTTCTTTTGCAGTGGCTTTAATCAAAGTACTGTGAGGAGCAGAAAAGAAAAGATCTTAGTAAGTTTGTGTTAGTTGTTGAAGCTGAGAGATATGTAGAATGTAAGCAAAATAAATGGTACAGGAAAAAAAGTATTCCTGAAACAAATGTAACTAAGAATTGACCAGATTTTCACCTTTTCTTAGATAGTTTGATTATGTTCAAGAGAAATGTAATATTTCTATAGGAGATAAAATGCAATATTTTAGTTCTGTAGATAAAGCCACACTTAAATCAGAAAACCTCTTGTTTTAGTTCTGTTTCATCTGGGCCTCAGTGGTTCCTGATGAAAAATGAATGTTTCAACTAAATGGTTCTGAGATTCCTTTTCAAACTCTTGTATTATGTGATCCAATAATATTCCTTGATTTAGTAGCTGCACTTTTAATTTTAGCTATTTTCAGGAGAATAAACAGTATTTTCTTACTTTCTTTGTCTCCCTTTTTGTTGTTTTTTTTCTAATAGAAACGATAGATGTGATACTAGGATGATGATTAAGCTGTAAATTGAATTTTTTGGTGTCAATTTTTTTTTCTCCCATTCTAATGCTTCCCTATTCTATTCTTATTTTTATTTTATACAACTGAAAATATGTAAGGAACTTGGAGTTTTAAGTACATTTAAAAAATATTTCTTTAATGTGTCCCATCATGGAAATAATGCTTTGTTTATTGAAGACAATTTTTAAAACATAGGAAAAGAAAGTATTTTTTAAAACACCTAATTTTACAGGTGAACAGTGGTCTCTGATTGTTTTAATGTACATTTCTTTGATTACAGTTTTATGCCAAAAGAGGATTTAAGGCTGCTTTTTGAGTTGCTGGGAAACTAAACTTTTTGAGAAGTTAGGAGAAAAGATGTGATAAACTAGGATGAGGGAAAAAGCGGGACTATAAAACACAGGACATTCCCTAAGTAAAAGAATTGGGCCTTTCTTTGTAGACTTGGCTGGGAGTGGAGTTATGTGTATGCGTATGTGTTGTGGGGAGAGGAGACACTTTTTTGAGGTGGGAGTTAGTATTATCCAGTAATACTTGGAAACTCAGTAGTAAGCATATAGGCTTATAAGATACATACCAGTGATTATTTGGAAGGATGTTAATCAGAATGTTTAGTGTCTTTCACTTATGGAAATGTTTGTGCAGGTTTTTCCTTTATTTGTTTAGATTTGAGTATTTTACAGAACAGATACTCAAAAGTTGATTATACTTAATTGCTTTTCGGGATGATTTAGCTATGAACTACAAACACAATGATGGAGAAAAGGTTTTAATGTAAATAATACACCATCAAAGCTTTTAAACAGTTGTTACATAATAAAATACATAATCCACCAGAACTGATAGGTTTCCAGTGAAACAGCTTATAATGTCACTGTAATTGTGCCACTCCAGCTGGACGGCAAGACCTAAGGATTCATTTTTTATTTCATTTCTAAAGAAGTGTTAACATTTTCTTCAAAATGATAATAGCATCATTATTTATTATTTTATAGATAACTGTAATGGAGAACAGTTACAGAAATACAATAGGATAAAGTTTTTTTTTTAAGCTCATTATTTCTGTTTAGACCTTTGCAACACTGGTATTTAACTGGCAAAACTTAGCTCTGTTTAATTTTATTAGCTTTAACCTTTAAAATAGTACACGATGATATGTATTAGCATTCTCATTTTGTGGTCTTTATTGTTTGACTATACAAAGGTATTTTATTCCCAGAATTTCAGTATTAAAAACTTCAGAGTTTACAATGGTACAACCGCTATGGAAAACAGTTTGGCAGTTCTTCAGAAAGTTAAACATAGAATTATATGACCCAGCAATTCCACTTCTAGGTGCATACCCAAAGACTTGAAAGCAGGGACTGAAACAGATACATGAACATCAGTGTTCATTGCGGTATTATTCACAATAGCTAAAAAGTGGAAACAATCAAATGAATACTATTCAGCTATAAAGAGAAATGAAATTCTGATACATGCGGCAACGTGTGTGAGCCTTGAAAACATGCTGTGCGAAATAGATCAGATACAAAAGGACAAATATTGTATGATCCCACTTAAAACACGAAATGCCTAGAATAGGCAAATGCGTAGAGACCAGCATTTATTAGTGGCCACCAGGGGCTGAAGGGCAGGGAAAATTATTTATTATTTAACTGGTACGAGGAGCCCTGGTGCCACAGTGGTTAAGTGCTGTGGCCGTTAACCAAAAGGTCAGCAGTTCAGATCCACCAGTTGCTCCTTGGAAGCCCTATGGGGCAGTTCTGCTCTGCCCTATAGGGTCGCTGTGAGTTGGAATTGACTTGACGGCAACGGATTTTAAACAAGTTAAATGATACTAAGTTTCTGTTAAGGAGCAGTGGTTAAGCCCTTAGCTACTAACTGAAAGGTCAGCAGTTTGAACCCACCAGCTGCTACATGAGAGAAAGATGTGGCAGGATGCTTCCGTAAAGATTACAGCCTTGGAAACCCTATGGGGGAGGGCAGAGCAGGGCAGTTCTACTCTGTCCTGTAGGGTCGCTTGAGTTGGAGTTAACTCTGTGGCAATGGGGTAAGTTTCTGTTTATTGTAGTTAGCTGCCATCTAGTCAGCCCCCAGCTCATGGCGACCCCATGTACAATGGTATTGGATCATTGTGATCTATAGGGTTTTCATTGGCTAACTTTTTGAAAGTAGATCGCCAGGCCTTTCTTCCTAGTCTGTCAGTCTGGAAGCTTCACTGAGACCCGTTCAACATCAAAGCAATACACAAGACTCCACTGACAGACGGATGGTGGCTGTGCATTAGGTGCACTGGCCAGGAATTGAACCCAGGTCTCCTGCCTGGAAGGCAAGAATTCTACCACTGAACCACCACTGTCCCCTAAATTTATTAGTTGTTGTTAATTGCCATTGAGTTGATTCCACCTCTTAGAGACCCCATGTGTGCATAGTAGAACTGCTCCATAGAGTTTTTCAAGGCTGTGACCTTTCAGAAGCAGATCGCCAGGCCTGTCTTCTGAGATGCCTCTGGGTGGGTTTGAACCACCAACGTTTTGGTTAGTAGTCCAGTGCTTAACCATTTGTGTTACCCAGAATGGGTGACCTTATTAGGGTGATGAAAAACATTTGGAAATGGATGGTGGTAATGGTTGCACAACATGGTGAATGTAATTAATGTGACTGAATTATACACTTAAAATGGTTAAAAGGACAAACTTTCTGTTGTGTGTGTATTTTTTTTTTTTTAATACCACAATAAAATTAAAAAAGAAAATTGAGGGGGTTCTGTTTAAATGAAAACTTTGATACTTAAGTTATAACTTATGGATAGTTTATTGAGGGGAGATTGTAAAGAGTAATGAATGTAGACACTTAAGCCACTTTTCCCCTCCCTCTGTTGATAATTAAAATTTATTTTTAGATAGGTGTCTGCATTATCTTGAATTGCTTAAAACTAACAATGTAACTGTTGAAAATTATTTGAACTCATTTCACCTCCTTGAAGTTATAATTAGTAGAGAGGAAGAAATATTGTCTAAATGATCTTATTTTACATGAAGTTTATTCAGATGCCTCCGTAACATAAACATTTTGTTCATAAAATATGTTGGAAATGGCATGTTAGAATCCTGGTACTTATTTTCAGGGGTATTTTGCCTTGTTTTGTGCAATAGTCTGTATTTGAATTTAATTTTATGCTTCAAACACTGAGGATTCACCAGTTAGAAGTCCCTGGGAACATACACTTTTTAGGATAATTTAGGTTAGACCAGTCCTGAACCACTGTACCATATTTTGCCCTTTAAAACTTAGCATTGGGTGGAAGCCTATATTACTCTCATAATCTGAAATCATGTGAATGAGTGCATGCACGTGTGTTGTGTGTCCTTTAATCATCTCCTAAGTACCCATCCATGAAGTCCATTAGTTAAAGAAAAAATCGTAGGTACTGATGTCTTTGAAACATACTGATTCAGAACTGAAGTGTCTTTCAAGTTATATTTTTGGATCTTGCCCCAGAAAATGTACATATGGGAATTAGCCAGATATGTAAATAATGGCTAAGAAAATATGCTCAGAGAGTTTGATTATAAGTAGAGTGTGTAAGGATTTGCTTGTAAGATTTGAATTGGAACTTAATCAGAAGCTCCTGGTGTACAGTACTTTTTTTTTTTTTTTTTTTTTTAATACTGTTATATAACATTCATATTTGTTACTTGGAGTCTTTGGTTATCTTTGATAGCTCAGAGATAAGGTGGTGAGATTGATTTTACTTGATTTTGTTTTAAACTTTTGTAGAAACACCACCTCCTGGATATATCAGTGAAGATGGGGAAACAAGTGATCAACAGTTGAACCAAAGTATGGACACAGGTAAAAATAACGTTCAGAATTCCTTAGTAATTAGATATACATTTCTTGCCTTGTTAGACGCTCAGAAGAGATGTTCCTAGTAAATGTAGAGAAGTTGAGAAACATACCCAAAAACCAACAAAGAAAAAGAACCCCAGTCTTCTATCTTGATCTAATCATGTCTTAACCATTAATTATCTCCTAATACCCATCCATGAAGTCCGTTAGTTAAAAAAACATTGTGGGTACTACATGTTGTCATTGAAAAAAATAGCATATGCTACTCTATAAAATAATAGTTAGATTTTTCTCTTGTTGGAGTAAATAAAGAATTCAGAACACTTTGTTTTTTTTTTTTTAAGTATTTTTATACTTCTGTTTAAAGTTTTAGTTATTCTATTAATAAGTATTTCTTTGTGATAAAAGATAGTCATTAACCTGCGGACAGATTTTCACATGAATTTTAGGCTGAGGGATGGGAATCAGCTTTTCATTGCTCCTTTAACTTAATGGTGAGTTCTGAATTACAAAAGTTTTACACAAAATACCATGTTCCATTTGTTGATGAGACTTTCCTTTCTCCATTAATTTGCCTTGGCCCTTTTGTTGAAAATCAAGGGATAATATATATGTGGGTCTAACTTTTGGTTTGATGTTAAGCCCTTTAAATGAATTCTTCATTACAGATTTTTCTATTTTTGAGTTTCACAGTTTCCATTTTAAAGTTTTTATCTGCTAATTCGGATGTCTGGTTCCTATGTAGGTCTGCTTCTGTTGACTATTTGTTCTCTTGAGTATGGGTCAGTTTTTCCTACTTTGTAATTGGATTCAGATATTGTGTATGAAATAATAGGATTTTTTTTTATTGTTGTGCTTTAAGTAGAAGTTATAATTCAAGTTAGTCTCATACAAAAATTTATGAATGCATTGTTATGTGACCATAGTTGCTCTCCCTGTACTGTGACAGCACACCCCTCTCTTCCACCCCGCATTTCCTGTGCCTTCTCATCTCGCCTCCAGACAGGAGCTGCCCATTTAGTCTCATGTATCTACTTGAGCTAAGAAGCACACTCTTCACGAGTATCATTTTATGTCCCATAGTCCAGTCAGATCTTTGCCTGAAGAGTTGGCCTCAGGAATGGTTTTAGTTTTGTGCTAACAGAGAGACCGGGGGCTGTATCTTCTGGGGTCCCTCCAGTCTCAGTCAGACCATTAAATCTGGTCTTTTTACTAGAATTTGAGTTCTGCACCCCACTTTTCTCCTGCTCCATCAGGGACTCACTGTTGTGTTCCCTGTCAGGGCGATCATTGGTGGTAGCCAGGCACCATCTAGTTCTTCTGGTCTCAGGCTGATAAAGTCTCTGGTTTATGTGGCCCCTTCTGTCTCTTGGGCTAATACTTTTCCTTGTGTCTCTGGTGTTCTTCATTCTCCTTTTCTCCAGGTGGGTTGGGACCAATTGATAATTGATGCATCTTAGATTGCTGTTCGCTAGCTTTTAAGACCCCAGACGCCACTCACCAAAGTGGGATGCAGAACATTTTCTTAATAAACTTTGTTAGGAAATAATAGTATTGTCAGTTGCCTCATATGCAGTTGAAAGCTCGACAATGAATAAGGAAGACAGAAGAAGAATTGATGCCTTTGAATTATGGTGCTGTTGGCAAAGAATATTGAATATACCATGCACTGCCAGAAGAACGGACAAATCTGTCTTGGAAGAAGTATAGCCAGAATGCTCCTTAGAAGAGAAGATGGCGAGACTTCATCTCACGTACTTTGGACATGTTATCAGGAAAGACCAGTCCCTAGGAAAGGGCATAATGCTTACTAAAGTAGAGGGTCAGTGAAAGAGAGGAAAACCCTTAGCGAGATAGATTGACACAGTGACTGCAATGATGGGCTTGAACATAGCAACAATTGTGAGGATGCTGCAGGACCGGGCAGCGTTTTGTTCTTTTGTAACGGGTTGCTATGAGTCGGAACCAACTCGACAGCACTTAAGAGCAACAAGAAGTTTATACAGGAATACCTCGGACATACTGTGCATTTGGTTCCAGATCACTGCAATAAAGTGAATATCTCAATAAAGTAGTCACATAAATTTTTTGGTTTCCTAGTGCATATAAAAGTTATGTTTACATTATACTGTTGTCTGTTAAATATGCAGTAGCACTGTGTCTTAAAAAAACAATGTACATACCTTAATTAAAAAAGACTTCATTGCTAAAAAATGGTAACCATCATCTGAGCCTTTAGCAAGTTGTGATCTTTTTGGTGGTGTAGGGTCTTAAACTCGATGTCGATGGCTGCTGGCTGATCAGGGCAGTGGTTGCTGAAGGTTAGGGTGGCTGTGACAATTACTGAAAATAAGACAACAGTGAAGTTCGCCGCATTGGTTGACTCTTCCTTTCACGTCAGATTTCTCTGTAACATGCGACGCTGTTTGATAGCATTTTACCCACAGTAGAACTTCTTCCAAAATTGGAGTCAGTCCTCTCAAACCCTGCTGCTACTTTATCAACTAAGTTTATGTAATGCTCTAAATCCTTCGTTGTCATCTCAACGATGTTCACAGCATCATTACCCGGAGTAGATTCTGTCTCAGGAAACCACTTTCTTTGCTCATCCATAAGAAACAACTGCTCATCCGTTAAAATTTTATCATGAGATTACAGCAATTCAGGCACATCTTCAGGCTCCACTTCTAATTCTAGTTCTCTTTCTGTTTCTACCACATCTGCAGTTACCCCTCCACTGAAGTCTTGAACCCCTCAAAGTTACCTATGAGGGTTAGAAACAACTTCTTCCAAATTCCTGTTAATCAGACTTGAAAGTCAGAATTACTCCTTGACCCATGGGCTGCAGAATGGATGTTAGCAGGCATGAAAACAACGTTAATCTCCTTGTGCATCTCCATCAGAGCTCTTGGGTGACCAAGTGCGTTGTCAACGAGCAGTGATATTTTGAAAGGAATCTTTTTTTCTGAGCAGCAGGTCTCAACATTGGGCTTAAAATATTCTGTAAACCATGTTGTAAACAGAGGTGCTGTCATACAGGCTTTTTTGCTCCATTTATAGAGCACAGGCAGAGTAGATTTAGCATAATTCTAAACGACCTTAGGATTTTCAGAGTGGTAAATGAGCATTGGCTTCTCAAAGTCACCAGCTGCGTTAGCCCCTAACAGGAGAGTCAGTCTGTCCTTTGAAGCCAGGCATTGCCTTCTCCTCTTTAGCTATGAAAGTCCTAGATGACATCTTCAATATAAGGCTGTTTCATCTACGTTGAAAATCTGTTGTTTAGTGTAGCCACCTTTATCACTTATCTTAGCCTGATCTTCTGGATAACTTGCTGCAGCTTCTACATCAGCACTTGCTGCTTCCTCTTATGCTTTTATGTTATGGAGACAGCTGCTTTCCTTAAACCTCACAAACTAACCTCTGCTAGCTTCATACTTTTCTTTTGCAGCTTCCTCACCTCTCTCAGCCTTCATAGAATTGAAGTGAGTTAGGGCCTTGCCCTGGATTACGTCTTGGCTTAAGAGAATGTTGTGGCTGGTTTGATCTATTCAGACCACTAAAACTTTCTCCATATCAGCAATAGGGCTCTTTCGCTTTCTTATCATTCGTGTGTTCACTGGAGTAGCACTGTTCTTTCAAGAACTTTTCCTTTGCAGTCACAACTTGGCTGTTTGTTGCAAGAGGCCTAGTTTCAGCCTATCTCAGCTTTCAACATGCCTTCTTCACTAAACTTAATAGTTTCTAGCTTTTAATTTAAAGTGAGAGGTGTGTGACTTCCTTTCACTTGAACACTTAGAGGCCATTATAGGGTTATTACTTGGCCTAATTTCAATATTGTCTTGTCTCAGGGAATAGCGAGGCCTGGGGAGAGGGAGAGAAACAGTGAATGGCTGGTCAGTGGAGCAGTCAGAACACACATATTTATCGATAAAGTTCGCCATCTTATTGGGCGTGGTTTGTGGTGCCCTGGAACAATTACAATAATAATATCAAAGATCACTGATCACAGATCACCATAACAGATATAATAAAAATGAAAAAGTTTAAAATATTGCAAGAACTACCAAAATGTGACACACAGACATGAAGTAAGCACATGCGGTTGGAAAAACGGCGCCAATAGACTTGCTGGACGCAGGATTGCCACAAACTTTCAATTTGTAAAAGAAAACACAATATCTACAAAGCGCAATAAAACGGGGTGTGCTTGAAGATAATATTTTCCCTCAGAAAGACTCACTTGTCTCTTTCTCTGTCTCCCAAGTTGAGGAGCTAATCTCTTTGAACTAATTAGGAATTGAGCTGAGTGGATAACTATATTCGTTGCTTTAGTTGATGTCATATCACCTCAGGTTTCAGGGACGTTCAGCTCCCTACCTCAGCAGGGCCTTCAGATATGAGTATGGCAAGACTACAGGGTATCTCACTGTTCTGCAGCCCTGCCCAGAATTTCCTGTGCTGCTATGTGCTCAGTCAAAGGCCTGTGGGTTAGAATTGGCTAGTGAAGCAGACCAGCTCTCTGCTTGGGGCTGCTACGGTTCTAATTGTCCCCATGTGGCTATTAACATTTTAGTTTGTGTCCTGACTTGGCACGTGCTCCCGGTGATGAAAGTGGTTACCCCTCTCTGCTTACTGATGAAGAGCTCATCCTTCTCTGTAAATTAGTTCCTTTATATTTATTTGTTTCTGCAACTCTAAAGAAACATGATTTTTTAGTTTATCTGGTATTTTCTTACTGTTATTTAGTAGTAAGGGCTTTACCAATCTTCTGCATTCTAACCATAAATGGAACCCTATGAGTTCTTTAAAAAAAAAAAAATTCTCTTCTTATTATGAATAGAATTCATGCTCATAGAAAATTTGGAAATGCATAGAACATAATAAAGAAAATAAGGAAAATGATCACGTACTGTCCATTTCTTAAGTTGGGTTTTTCTCACATGTTCATTCCATTCTTTTTGTGGATACTTTTATAGAACATATTATATATAATGTTACATCCTTTTTTGTGTGTGTGTGTGTAACGTCATATTTCTACCATTATTCTATGCCAAATAAAAAGCTAAGCAGTACTATACATAGTTTTGTGCATAAGTGTGCATCTTCTGTGTTTGTTTGCCGGCCACGCCCTTCCCCTGCGAGCACCCTCACAAGAAGCCTCTTCCACACGTTGCTGTAAAAAATATTACCATAGCATGCTTAGGAGAATACCTCATGGGGGGAGGGCACGGCTGGCAAACAAATGCAGAAGGCATGCGTTATTTGTGTAAAAATACAGTATTTTACAGATAAAATTATGATAGAACATTTTGAATTACACAAGAAATGGATATTGATTATAAAATCAGAACGGTTGGGTAAAGAAGAAAAATTTAAATATCACATGTACTTATGTTAGCAATAACTATACTTTTAATTTGAGAAGGTTCCACATTTACCAAACAAACTTAATATGGCAGTGCACATCATAAGAAAAATAGGTAGAAAGTGACAGAGGAATTCACACGTAGTATGTCAGACTCTGGAGAACCTGTTCTTTACTTCTACCCTAGACTGCCTCTGGCTGATTACAGATGACAGCTAGAAACAGGTGCTTTGGAGATTTATCTCTGAGGTAGGACTCGATCGGTGATGAGATAGGGGAAAGGTTGAAGGAGGAACCCAGCATCATGCTCAGTTTTCTGGAAGGTTTGTGAAAGCAATTGGTCTATACTCAGTAAATTAGATATTATAAAACATACATTTAAAGCCATTTTGGGTATCAAAACAAGAAAACAATAGATATGTTTATTCCTTCAGGATTATCACTATAATATGAAAGCAAAGGAGATAAATGATTTTGAGACCTTTAACTTTACTGCCCTTTTACTATATGTACGTTTTCAAAGAATGAAAGTGTTTCTGTTTTTTCACTTGAATGATGTTTATTTCTGGTTGTGTTAGTATGCTGAAACTTACAGGGCAGTATATTTCTTTACTATTAATTTTGCTTAGAAAATTTTAATTAGTTTTAATATTCCCTCAAAAAAAATTACAAAATAAAAAACATGCAACTCATCTGAAATTAAAATGAATTCCATTTGGAGCAAACACTTAAATGTAAAAAATGAAACCCTGCAGGTTTTAGGACATGGCATTAAAGATTTTTTGTTTTTTAGTGATTGGAGTAAGAAATATACAAAACAGAATATCATAGGAGAAAAGATTGATAAATTTGAATAAATAATATTTAAAATGTTACCTGGAAAGATAAACCAAAGCAAACCAAGAAGCTGGGGAAAATATTTGCAAGTGGATGACAACTCTTAAGAACTGATCTCTGTATTTAAAAACGCTTATAAGCCAAGAGGAAAAAGACAATAAGTAATAGAAGGATGGACAAAAGGATCATAAATGCACTATTTACAACAGAAACGGTAGGAGTTGCCACTCTAAACCTATCAAGTTTACAAACGTCAACCTGTTTGTTAATACGTGTAGTGATGATGCGAAGAAACAGTGTAAGTTGTGGGTGGAACTAAACATTTTTGGAGGGGACATTGGCACATGTTCATAAGAATTTAACACTCAACATTTCTTTTGATCTAATGTTTCCTCTTTGAAAAATATATCTTATGAATATATGTGAACTTGTGTCCAGAGATACATGCATGAAGGATTTCTCTAGATGTTTTAGCGGTGACAGAAACTGCTGTTCCAAGCAGGCATTAACAGTGAGGATATTTATTACCTCTCATAACTGGAAGTCTTGTGGTAGGCCAGACTTCAGTAACAGCATCTCTATATGAATAGTTAATAGAATATACATTCTTTGCCTCTATTTTTTAAACATGTTTTCTAAAAGTTTTGTTACCGAACAGCTTAATTTTTTAAAATTTTATATATGATTATAATTAAACTTTTATTATCTGCAAGTCAAATTTTTGTGACAGTTCAACTGAATTCCTGTTAGTCTAAACTAATGAATTGTGACCCTACTGGCTTTCTGGTCACTTCTGAGAAGTATTTAATAGAGGAGTAAACAGTTTAAAAATATGAGTAATTTGAGTTGAAAGATATGAATAATTGGGCAGTTTCCTCCATTTCAAATAGTAGCTTTGTTTATTTTATATCTACTTCAGGAAATAGCACAGAATTTTAGTTCATTGTTCTAAATATATTTTGGCCTTTCTTAGTTGTACCTGTTGTGGCTTGCCAATAGATTTTTCATACTGAGGAGCAAAAAAATGACCTAAAAAACTTAATTATGCTATGGAAGACTGTTCTGTCTTCTAAAAAAATAATTATCACCTGTTCTCTAGCTCTGATTTATCTGTTTACCTGGGGGCTGCCATTTCGCCTTTGTTGCCTGGTATGTTATGGTTATAATGGTGTGTGTCATCTGTATCTGTGGTTGTTCATTCTTTTTCTTAGTTTATGTGTTTGTGTCCCCTCCTCCCTTATTTTCTTGATTAGATTAACCTGTTTATCTAAAACTGGAAGTAATGGAAAAATTTTTAAGAAAATATAATTTCCCAAAACTGACTCCAGAAGACAGCTGTCTTAACAGACAACTTTCATCACAGAAAAGGTTGTTTTTTTTTTATGGTGCATGATTAAAATTATGACTAAGCAGTCATAAGACAGATGACCAAATATTTGCAGCTTCTACCATGAAAGGACTAGTATCTGTAATATATAAAGAGCCTTCTACAAATCAGTAAGAGAAAAGATCAACACCACAGTAGATAACTGAGCAAAGAAACAGACTATTCACAGAAAGGAAATACAGTGTAAACAAGGGTAAAGCTGCGCAATCTCACCTATAAGAGAAATACAAATTAAAACTATACTTATTGAAAGATCATGATTTCCCCTGTCAACAATAACACCATGAGCATCCCAGCAGCACTTAACGTTATGGGAAACGTAAATTGGCATAACCTCTATGGGTGACAGTTTTTGCAAAATCTATCAAAATTGCAGATGCACAAACTCTTTAACCTGGCACTTCCTCTTTTAGGGATTCATCCTGCAGATAGCTTGAAAGTTTACGAAATTTGCAGGGTTAGGCAGTACAATCAGAAAGAGCCTGAATAGCCATCAGTATGGAGTCATAATATACCATACTGTAATGTTATGCAGTTGTAAAATAAAGAAGAAACGTCAAAATGAACAGTCTCTGATAGAATAAGTGATATAAAAGCAAACTTCAAAACACTGTGTTGCCTTTTCTGTTTAACAAAGAGGGCACAGAACAGAAATATGTTTCTTGTATGGTTCATGAGATATTTCTGGAAAAGTACATAAGAAACTCGCAACATTGGTTGTCTTTGGGGAGAGGAACTGGATAGCTAGAAGCTAGGGCTATAATACCCTTTCATACCTTTATATAGTGAAGCCCTCAAAATTAAACTAAAATAAAGCAGTTGTGTATTTTGAATTCTTGGGATTTAGATTATCTGTTTATTCATCGTGATAATTATAATCAGTTACAACCAAACACAACCAATTTTATTATTTGGTTAGAAATTCTGGAAATACAACAACATCTATTATGAAATTAAATCCTTTTGTTTCAGGATCTCCAGCGGAACTGTCTCCTACTACTCTTTCCCCTGTTAATCATAGCTTGGGTAAGTTGGCAAATACTTTTCCAGACTGGTTTTATTACTGTGTCATTTACTTAATAAAATGTCTGTTAAGCCCTATGGGGAGCTCTGCTCTGCCCTGTAGGGTCGCTATGGGTCAGAATCCACTCGACAGCAACAGTTTTGGTAATTATTTTTGAATGTACGAGAGGAATTTCAGTGAATATCAAGTAATTGTTCAAATAGTTTAAATCAGTACTTTTTGAAAAAGATACTGATAATGTTAATAAAACTAAAACTTTTCTACTGGCGCATATGAGAGTAAAACTAATAATATTCTTTTCATTCATGAAAGTCATGTTCTTTATTCATGGAAAATTTTGATCTACTATGGCTTTGTTTTTATGGGTATGTTTATTTTATGATACTTTTTGTAATAGTTGATGTAAGAAATATGTACTGGATTTTTACACAAATAACATGCACCTTCTAAGTTTGTTTGCCAACCCCCACCCCCACCCCCTCCCCCCACTGGAGGCATTTTTGTAAGCATGCTATGCTAATTTTTTTTTACAGCAACATGTAAAAAAATTAGCATAGCAGCACTTTTACGAAAATACGTCACGGGGGAGGCGCTGGCACGGTTGGCAAACAAACGTAGAAGGTGCACATTATTTGTAAAAATGCAGTATGTATGCGTGTATTAATGTAGATGTATATATACATATGCAGATATATCACACAAGTATATATTATGGGAGGTATACATATGTTAGTGTGGATATGTATATGTGCTGTTGTCAGTGTAGGCTGGCATAGAACATGTAAAGGTAATGAAATTTTGTCTATTCTTGGCTTGACTCGTTCACTCAGCATTTTTTACTTCTATGTTTTGATTTCAGATTTGCAGCCAGTTACTTACTCAGAACCTGCATTTTGGTGTTCAATAGCATATTACGAATTAAACCAGAGGGTTGGAGAGACCTTCCATGCCTCACAGCCCTCACTCACTGTAGATGGCTTTACAGACCCATCCAATTCAGAAAGATTCTGCTTAGGTTTACTCTCCAATGTTAACCGAAATGCTACAGTAGAAATGACAAGAAGGCATATAGGTATGTTTGGGTTTTTTTTTGTTTGTTTTCTTTTTCTTTTTCCTTGTGTGAGTCAGAAATTGTTCTGGACTTCTGTGTATTTTCTGCTAGGTATTATTACAGATAATTCTTTTTGCATTTCTAAAACCAATGCCATACACTCAAAATGTGGGCATTATATGGTATACCATATCAAGAGATTTTGTACAAAAAAATCCAACCTTCTCTCTATCAGCTGGAGTATCATCTTTGTACATTTAAGTACACAGGCTTCCCTGCTTTTAATAGATTCTGGTGACTCTTCAGTCCCCAAATTCTTACCTTTGACCTGTGTTTATTTGGCACCCTTGATACTGGGAAGTCCTTCAATAAATGTGTGTTAAAATAGCTTTGATTTGTTTACCCTTTACCAGTCATGAAATTGCCATGTTCAGATTTTGGAGTGAAAATTTTAACAAATCATGAATTTTTTCCAGTTTGTTTACATCTCTCGGGTTTTTTTCCCCCTTTGGTTAGTTCATGTATTAAATCAAATCTGTTAACATTAATCTGAGACAAGATATCTAACACAAGAATTTCCATTTAATGTTCAAAATATAATTCAAAGGATCTAAAAATGTGGTTTGGGGTTCTGGGAGCCTCAGAAGCCCTTTCAGGGGAGTTCGTGAGGTCAAAACTATTTTCATAAGGACACTAAGATATTGTTCGCCTTTTCCACTCTCATTTTCTTATGAGTAGAAAAGTGAAGTTTTCCAGAGGCTACATGACATGAGTTTGCAAGAGATTAAATGTAGAAGTTGATACGAAAATTCAGCTGTCTTCTGTTAAGCCAGACAGTCATTGAAGAGATTTTCAAAAATTCAAAACATTGTCATTCTTCTCACAAGTTTTTTGTTTTGGAAAATATAGTCATTTTTCATAAACATGTTATTTATGTTAACATGTAATGGGCTTATTTTGATTTTAAAATGAACGAATAATTTTTTAATCTCAGTTTTTATATGATTTAATATGATAAATTTCCATAGATGAAATGTACATAAAATTTCTGCAGGGTTCTCAGTAATTTTTTAACAGTAATTTGCTTTTGTTCCCCTTTAATTAACCATCACCTCGTGTGAGAAATGATGCTGATTACTGAGAAGTGGTTGTGATGCTGCAAAATGCCAATGAGTGGGTCATGTTACTTGACTCCGTGTGGAATTTCTCAAATCTTGCTTGATGTATAAATTTTGGAAAATCTTGTTGAAGTACCCAGGAGTCGTTGTAGGTGAGGGAGGCCTCTGAATATCCACCCCTACTTTTTATCTAAAAGTTCTGGGTTTTGTCTGTGTTTTAAATTGGGGTTCTGTAGAAAATTTTGTTTGACGGAACGTTCCTCTGCCCTGTTCACTTCTCCCTATAAAACTTTGATAGCTGTAATTGTTAGATCATCCTTTTACTTACGATTTCTAGTTTAGTGGATGGTTTTGATTGAAGAATGTAGCCTACAGAATCTCTGCTCTTTGAATTTAATGGTTTTTTGATGGCGAAGTACATGATTGATTGTTTTGTAAATCTCCCATAATCATAAGAGAACAGGGTTCCAGGTTCTACATCATCTGTTAAGTCTGGATTGTTGGTTGTTTTATTAGTTTTCTTTTACTGTGTAACAAACTACCACAAACATAGCAGGTTAAAACAACACAGATTTACTATCTCGCAGTCCCTGGGGGTCAGAAGTCTAGGCATGGGTTTTCTCCTCAGAGTCTCACAAGGATGAAATCGAAGTGTCAGCTGGCCTGCGTCCCCTCTGGGGCTTGAGGTCTCCTCCAAGATCACATGGTTGTGGTAGAATTCACTTTTTTGCGGTTGTAGGATTGAGGTTCTCATTTCCTTACTGGCTGTCAGCCAGAGGCTGCTTTCAGCTCTAGAAGCCACATGTGCCCCTCCATCTTCAAAGCTAACAACAGAGAATCCCTCTTGGGTTGAATCCTTTCACTCACACTTTAAATCACTTTCGCAAGGATCTGCCCACCCAGTCCCTTTGAAGGAATCACCTGATAAGTCAGGCTCTCTGAAGATAATTGCCCTTTCCTAAGGTCAGCTGATTTGAGACTTCGATTTCATCTGCACAATCTCTTAGCAGCAGTGTTTGATAAGAATATCAGAGGAGATGTGTGGATGCCATGAGTTGGGAACCACACTTGCCTTCATAGAATTCTACCTATCACAGTTGGTTACTTAAAATTCTTCTTCTTTTTTTTTTTTTAATGTACTTGGATCTGTCAAATTCTGAAAGAAGTGTCTTAAAATATCCCAATATAGTTTTTCCTTATCTAATCTAGGGATTTGTTTGCCACCATATATATTTTTAAAAAGGGCAAATGGAACTCTTGGTGTGTGTATAATCTTTTTCTTAACCATAGCTGTATCTTTAAGGAAATACTATTTATTATAATGAAGACACATTTATCTGTACTTTAAGTAATTCCTTTAAAATTAACTCAATTTCTTTTACTTATTTTTAAAATACTATTATTTGTATGAACTTCTATTGTCTCATTCAATTGAAATGAATATACAAACAGATGGCTAAAATTATAAATAATACAATATAAATGACAATTATTTCTGGGTGGAGGAGTTTCGGGGGTTTTTAAATTTTACTGTCCTTGTACTTTTCTGCAGTGTTTAAATACTTTGGATAAGCATCTATTTCTACAAATCAATAAAATCATTGTTAAAAAATACTTAGAAAAATATACAGGGATATATTTCAAAGTTAGACTTCAGAAAAGCAGAGCTGTGAAAAGGTCGTGGCAACACCGTGTATCGTTTTAACATTCCCCCAGAAGACTTCCAAAGTCACACTGAAACAATAAATGTTAAAAAACTAATCCCATATGTATTTTGTTTTAGGAAGAGGCGTGCGCCTGTATTACATAGGTGGGGAAGTTTTTGCTGAGTGCCTCAGTGATAGTGCAATCTTCGTGCAGAGCCCCAATTGTAATCAGAGATACGGCTGGCACCCTGCAACAGTCTGTAAAATTCCACCAGGTATGGATACAGCAATGTACATAAACATATAGCAACTTGCTTAGTTTTTCTACTTGCTAATGATTTTAGGAATCAGGAGATGATTTGCATGCTCTTATTCGAATATCTGTAGTCCTTTTGAAATTATTTTATAATAATGATACTCTTTTTACAGTTTCTTTTACTTTTCTTAATCATAGGCTGTAATCTGAAGATCTTCAACAACCAGGAATTTGCTGCTCTTCTGGCTCAGTCTGTTAATCAGGGTTTTGAAGCCGTGTACCAGCTAACTAGAATGTGCACCATAAGAATGAGTTTTGTGAAAGGATGGGGAGCAGAATACCGGTAATAAATACTTCTGGAGTTCAGTGGTATCTGTTTTCATTGAGGTTATTGAGTCTGTAGATCTTTATGTAAAATAATAAAAGAAAGTTAGGGGACTTTAGATAAAAACTGTTTGAGTGACTTTTGCAAAATACTGTGCTGTTATTATAGGAGATATGATTAAAAACATGTACAGCTGTGCATTTTAGTATGCAGTGTGTTAAATACCATAAAAGGGTATATTTGAAGGGTTACGTCAGTTCATAGGAGAGACGTTTTTATTTGGTGCTCAGGTTCTAAAAGATGGATAGGATTGCAGTAGGCATAGATACGGAAGGTTTGGAGTGATAATCCTGCCAGTTCAGTTTGCCAGAATATAGGAAGTAAAGAAGAATAAGGCTGAGCAAAGAAATTGAGACTAGTTGAATATCAGATTATGAGGTGGAGCTTTATTCAGTAGCAGAAGGGGATACATGCTATGTGCCAGGCACTGTGTGGTTTTAAATGCTGTATCTCATGCCTTTCAACAAGACTAAGAATTACTGTTACTGTTGTTGTCTTTTCCTTATAAGGTTGAAACATGAAATTGTCATCTTTGTAGGTAAAAAATGGTCCAAACTAATACCTAGAATAGGCTTTGAAAAGTTTGATAATTTGTCCAGAGTCACCCTGTAAATGGTAGAGACAGGACTGGAAAACAGGTCTTCTTTACTCTTCTTCTCTAAAGATAGTAGTAACAACTATGTGATTGAACTTTACAACAACAAATTTGACATCAGTGTATAAGATAGACCAGGCTGTTTCTAAATTAAGCAACAGATTGGATTCCCCATTAAAGATAGAGAAGATTTCTTCCACTCTATTAAATAGAACTATAAGTAAAATACTTTCTCCAACTCACGTTGCTTACACTCTGAATGTCTGTTTAAGAAAATGTTCATGTAATAGTATTCCTATTTCATCCAACAATTTGAGTCCTTCAGAATTTATTTCATTTGATTTGGACTTCATCTCCCTATCTTAAACAAGTTTTGTGGGGCGTATGACTTTTGAGACGGTAATACATGTATACAAATGTATTTTATGTATTTATACCCTACAATGAAGACTTGGTACTATTTCATCTAAGTTGTATTGGTAGAATAGTTTATTTTGTGATCTTGCTGTAGCTCTCTTTTGCATTTCCCTTTTGAGGTGTATTAACTTTAATAAATGCTGAATGCTTTTTTCCCTTTGGATTTGAGTTGACCTGAGTTGATATTAAAATTAGATTCACATGGTACTATCTGATATTGAGTTTTAGGTCAGCTTCCCCCCCCCCCTTTATTCAAAAGGTTTGACTGTTGCAAAACATGGTAGGAATACAGTGGGGTTAAAAATGAACTACATAGGACAGAGGGAACTCCATGTGTATCTGTAGATCTGCTGCTAAGAACAGTTTTAGTTGGCAGAGACAGATACTGCCCTTGCTTCAGTGTGGACTCTACCATTCTTCAGCTCAGAGATAAATCCGTAATCATGAGAAGCAGTCATATACAGTATGTTTTTATGAGTATTTGGAGTCAGGTATATCTGACTTTGGATAATAAAATAATTTTGTCTAACATTTACAAATCAAAATAACATCTGATACCCATATACCTGTGAACTATGGGTAGCTACCATGAACTTTATGTCCTTAATGACAGTAAAGCTGAGGAAGTAGACCTACTGGTTAACTTTCTAAAACCGTTTTTCGGTTACCTTAATGTCAGTTTGAGTACCAGCATAAAATCAGGAAATATAGTAACCAGGAAAGAGAGATGTGTGAAGAATTCGTATGTAGCTGAGAAATACGTCTGAGTTAAGTAAGCCAGTACCTGAAGTGAGTCAACAAGGTTGGGGATGGGTTACCCCTGGGGTGCAGGTCTGTGCCCAGATAAGAAAACTTGTTTCTCTTCAGTGACCTGAGTTAAGAGTTAGTCCTGATAGTTAAACTAATCCAGTAATCATGATCTGATTGAAAACAAACTGGGAAATATCCAGAATTCAGCAAATGACAAAGTCAGAATTAAAAGAGATCTTGGTATGATTACTGAAGAAGGCATGGTCCAAGGGAGAGATAGAAGGCAGGAAAAATTTTATGTGAAGAACAAAGCAAGTAGAAGAACAGAGGGGAGATGAGAAAGGTTAGTCTTGTCTATACCTCGAGGATAATATGAGTCAACATGTGGAGTGTGCTAGTGCAATTTTAAGCTGCATAAACAAAAATACAGTCTCTAAATTGAAATAAAGCTTTGAGTCTGTACAGGCCAGATTTCATTTAGGACTGTTGTATTATATTTCACATATTACATTTTAGGAATAATCATATATCAGAATGTATTAGTGTGGGTTCTTCTGGAAACAGACCTTGAGACAAGGATTGAAGTGCCAGTGGTTTATGTGGGAGATGCAGGAAACACTGGTAAGGAAGGAGGAAGTGGGGAAGTGAGGCAGGGAAGGCAGCCAATACTATTACTAAGCTATCCACCACAGTGGGTGGGTCATGGGAGCTTATTCCGTCAGGGAAGCTTTGGCAGATAGTGCAGAACATACAGAAATACCCCACCCAGCAGAAGAGTGAGCTGGGTAATGCCAATTCCCAGGTCACGGGTTGAGGGCTGCTCTTGGGATGTTAATTCCCTGGCACATCTAGCCTGCTACACTTGTGGGCAGAGCAAAGAAGATCTTAGGCACAGAAATTCAGATCCTTGCAATTTGAAGTTGGCTAGAGCACACGGAAAAATCTGAAGAGTGTAAGTGGGGCACCAACACCATCTGCTACAGAAAACCACATCCTTTGAAATACAGTTCTAAAACTTATATTGGGCATGTGTTGCTTGGAAATGAAGAGTTAATAATGTCATTAATTTTCTCGTGTTCGAGAGATTGTCGTGTTGAAGAAGCAAGCAGACTTACTGACTTTTTCTGTATAGCAAATAATACAACTGAAATGAGTACATGGAAGTGACAGGATGTCATTGAACAATTTGTGATTCTCAGAGAGAAGCCTGTTTTGTCCAAGTAATAGAGGTGTTTATTAAAAGCCCGAATGATGTTCCTAAAAGGGATGTTATTCATATCTTCGTGGGAGAAGGTTGGATTCTTATTCTGTGATGAGCATTTAGCTTGGGTCAAAATCTGTTTTGTTTTGGTATACTTTGTAAGTATGGACTTCTGTTTCATTTAAACAAAATGTGGTTGACTAATAACAGTAAGGTGACTATATGCCCTGATTTGCTAGGGGCAGTCCTGGTTTACATCTCTTGTTCTGTCCTGATTATTAATAGTGCCCGCATTCTCTATGAAAAGTATCCCATTTTGAATGGTAAATAATGTTACCCTACAAATAGAGGGCAGTGGTGGTTCAGTGGTAGAATTCTCAACTTCCATGTGGGAGACCCTGGGCTGGATTTCTGGCCAGTGCACTCCAAGCACAGCCACTACCTGTCTGTCAGTAGAGGCTTATGTGTTGCTGTGATGCTGAATAGGTTTCAGCAGAACTTCCAGACTAAGATGGGCTAGGAAGGAAGGTCTAGCTATCTACTTCCAAAAAATCAGCCAGTGAAAACCCTGTGGATCACAACAATCCAATTCTGTTGTACATGGGGTCGTCACACATTGGGGGGCCAACTTGATGGCAGCTGACAACAGTAACAACTAATAAATTGTAGTTTTAGAGGAAAATAATGTTTTCATAAATCTCTTTAAAAGAAAGAAGTCACTGGAAGTACTTTGTGGATCAGACATTTTTCAAAATAATAACTAAATATGCAAACCGAATGCATCTTCAAATGTATTTAGGTTTTAGTATATATGACCTTTTAATTTTTCTAAGTTCTTAATGCATGTACTTAGACATAGCCAAAAATTCTTTTAATTTCACAATTATTTTCTTGTATTCTTTTAAACAGAAGGCAGACAGTAACAAGTACTCCTTGCTGGATTGAACTTCATCTGAATGGACCTCTACAATGGTTGGACAAAGTATTAACTCAGATGGGATCCCCTTCAGTGCGTTGCTCAAGCATGTCATAAAGCTTCATCACCAATCAAGTCCCATCAAAAGACTTAATGTAACAACTCTTCTGTCATAGTATTTGTGTATGGTCCCCATGGACTGTTTACTATCCAAAAATTCAAGAGAGAAAACAGCACTTGAGATCTCATCAATTAAAGCACCTTGTGGAATCTGTTTCCTATATTCGAATATTAGATGGGAAAATTAGTGTCTAGAAATATCCTCCCATAAAGGAGGAGGAGAAGATTTTAAAGACTTCATGATGTCTTCTTGGGCATAAAACTGAGTGTCCCAAAGGTTTATTAATAACAGTAGTAGTTATGTGTACAGGGAATGTATCATGATCCAGTATCACAGTATTGTGCTGTTTATATACATTTTTAGTTTGCATAAACTAGGTGTGTGTGTGCTGCTTCTTGTTTTAGGCAAGCCTTTATAATGTTACAGTACCTAATCTGTTACTCCCACTTCTCCGTTATTTTTGTGTCTTTTTTAATATATAATATATATCAAGATTTTCAAATTATCATTTAGAAGCAGACTTTCCTTGTAGAAAAACTAAATTTCCTGCCTTTTACCAAAAATAAACTAGTGGGGGAAGAAAAGTAGATTAACTTTTGAAATCCTTGACCTTAATGTGTTCACTGGGGCTTAAACATTCATTCTTTTTGCATTTGTTTATTTACCGCTAAATCTCATTATGGAAACCATACCGAAAATCTTTCCAAACCTCTTCTCCATTCCCACTTTTGTCCTGATACCAAAACAGCGTAGCATGACATCCATGGACAGTAACGGTCGCACTGGTGGTGCCCGTACAAGTTGATTCTGGGGCACAGTAGGAATTCATACGGAGTAATTCCCCTTCTCCTACAACCAAATTTTAACAGATAACAATTGACTTGTGTAAACCTTAGCAATCTATTGACTTATTCTTACACCTCATTAAAAAATGCACAGGTGGCAGTATAATTATTTTCAGGGATATGCCCGATTATTTCAGCATATGTATCCTTTTTTTAAGAAGGCCCATCGATAAAGTTTTTTAGAAGGTATTTTAAAGTATTTCAGCGGCAGACCTTGTGCTCTTTGATATGAGTAGTTTCATTTGATTTAGCTACCCGGTTGTATTACGAAGTGGACCTTTTGTAAATGTAATTGCTTCTGCAAAATACCTAGAAAAGTAATGCTGAGGTATGATCAGATAAGGGCCATCTGTTTTTAAAATACGTTGTATTCAATTTATAAAACCTATGTTATTTTACATAATTATGAACTTAGAATTAAAAAGTTGGGGGAGAAGCCATTTAACAAGTTTTTCAGCTTATAATTATCTGCAGTCTGATCTGGTCTTAAACCAGTTCATAACTGTGTATGTGGCTGACTATTATTACCGACTGTGTTTTATACTCTGCAGCGAGAGGAGATTCCAGAAACTGTTGGTAGTCCATTGTGCAGCAGATAATCCTTATGTCTAATGTTAACCCACTGCGATTTACACTTTTTGTTGTTGTTGTTGCTGTTGTTTTCATCTCAGTAGAAATGGAAAATAACCACTCCTGATCCCCTTTTTAGTAAATTTTCATATTTTGAAGATAGATATCTTTGGTACTTGTTCTTTGAAACCATACTCAACTTGTCTATACAGTTGTCATTTTCAATATTTTGAGCATTTGGTTGTTTTCTATTGGATACTGCCCATTTTCTTGTATTTGTATGTGTATGTATTTGTTCATATAAATTTAACATAGTGATTTTTTATTCATTCAAAAAAAATATTTATTGTTATGTGCCAGGAACTTTCTTAGCCTTTGGGAAAAGGTGAACAAGACAGTAGTGGCCCCTGCCTTTGCTGAGACAGCAGTTATGATAACCCTCAATCGTCTTATTTGTCTGTGAAGGAAGCATAACAGAGGGTATCCTTCAGATACGCATGTCAGAGAAGGCCTCTCAGAGGAAGTGATACTTGAGCTAACACCTGACAGATGAGAAGGAGCAAGCTGTGTGAAGAGCCAGGAGAGAGAGGTCTTCCTGGCAAAGAGAACAGCATCAAATGCAAAGGCTCGTTTTAAGGGAAACCCACTTGTTAGGTATTAATGCTTTATACAGAAACTTCTACACAGATCCAACTTTGAGGATCAGAATGGTTGTGTCATTTATAATATGTTGAAGGTGGCCTTATTTTGTGATAGTACTGCTTCATATGTCGTTCTCAGTAATTTTTCTTCTTTCCCAAACCCTTGCTGGGAAAATTTGTCATCTGCATCAGGTCAATACCACTTAATTTATCAACCGCTTCTTTAAATCTTCCTTGGGCAGGTGTTCACCATTGTAGTGACTGGCTGCTTGCTGCCAGACTTCTGCTGCCATCAGCGCATAACTACTTCTACTGCCAATCTTGTGCTTAGAGTAAGAGTCCCAGGCACTACCACCATCACGCCTGCTGGAGGTACCCAGTGGAGCCTCTGCCTCTTCTCTGGAAGTTTTTACTTACTTGAGAACTTCTAGTGATGTTAGGGAACAGTTCTGGGAGCAGGGAACAACTGTGAAAGTGGTACAAGGTCATGGCAGTTATTCTCACATTGATTACACTAAGTGAAGCAGTGCCGACTAGGACATTTCAGTGTAGAGCACATCTCTACAGTTCTGGTTTGATCTTTCTGTATAATATGAAAGTGGGACTCAACTCTTTGGAAACACTTGTGGACAGTTGACTTCATGGTGGTGATGACATTTGTGTGAATGTGTTTATTTGCTTTTTAATGAGATTGCTGTTTTTGCGTTCTATCTTGTCTACCATGGCCTAATTTTTGTTGATTTTCTCCCCCCACTTTATGGGGTTGTTTTCGTTCTTCTGAGTGATAGGGTCTCCTCTCTGTTGAACTTTGTCATTATTTAAACTAGCAACATTATTTAGAATTTATTCTCCACAGTACTGGTAATTTTCTCAATTTTATGACATGAGAACTGAATGACCATGCTTTCTATCACATTTCTAGTATCAGTGGTTTTCAAAGTGGGTTTCGTAGAGATGTCTTACTTAGAAACGGTGTAGTGGGTTGGAGACTGGTGTTCCCATAGACTTTGGTCTGACCAGTGACATCCTTATTTTAATTCTGTATTGGAGTTCCAAGTAAGATTTCGTTTGAAAAAAGAATTCCATTGCTTTTTTTTAAAGAAGTTTGAAAAGTCTTTAAATTGGTTAAAATTAGGAAATATAACTGGATTTAGACCAACTCTTTGGAATACCACTGATTGTGCTATTATCCTACTTTAAAGAAGTTTCCCTGATTAGGTTTTAACTACACCAGTAAGACATTTCACCGAATTGCACGTTACGATATACATTCAGTCAATAAACATTTACTGATGCCTGTTCTTTACGCAGCCACTGTGATAGATGTTAGTAATAAAAAGATGAATAGGATGTCGTTCTTATCCTCCAGCTGTGTTTAATTTAGTGAGGGGAACTTTTATCTCTCAGGACCTATTGCTTTGCCAGAAGGAAATCGGCCTAATTTTTCTTGAAAGCTGAATGTGCTTATTCTGTACTCTTATTCTATATTCCAAATATATATTTGCAAATTGTTTAATATTTAGTTGTTGTTTTTTAAAACCTTAAACCGTATCCAGTTTTGCTCCATTCATCTGTCTTTTTTAAACATTGCCAGATTTTTCTCCTTTGTTAAAATTATTTTAAATTCACTGTATTTGTGCCTTTATTGTCATTTTCATCAAGGCTAAGACTTTGAAGGTGAAAAACAAACAGCCACCGTCTTGCTAGTTAAAATCAAATAAAAGAACATATATACCCAATTGGTTTCTCTACCTCCGCCAAAAGCTATCCCAGTATATCTTTAAGATCTTTCTATAGCTAAATACTTGGAGGATTTATCAGTATTAGGGACCTTCCTGATTGGAGGATAAGGGTGAGTTGATGATGAGATACAAAGTAACACGAGACAACCTTCACCATACTTAAAATCTGCCTTTAGGTAGTCTAACTAAGCAACCTGTGGACATGAGCAAAGAATGATCTTTTCTTACTCTGACTTAACACATCGGTGTTCAGACATACCAAACTCATTGCCCATTCTCTTTTTTTATGTGCTTTACCTTGCTCAATTCTTTATATTCATCAACTAAATTTTATTCTTCCCCCACTTCTGACAACAAGTATTCTAATGGCACTTGCTGGTCGCCTTCTCCCCTACCAGCCATGTATTCTCCGCACACCTCAGAATGTTTCTCTCCTTTGACTTTTACTAATGACTAAAAGGAGGGTGCTCTTCAGGCTGATTTCTTCACCATGAATGTTGATGCTGTTCAGAAATGTCTCTGTTACTGGCAAATAGCACTAATCATCAGATTCTATTTTAAATTATGGTTAGGATCATGAACTGTTCTGGCTGCAGCCAATGATTTCCCTATACCACTAGCTCTATTTCTGTCTTGGGGCACATTGGATTGTTGTATTTCGTGCAGTCAAGAGTAATGATGGCAGTATGTGAGTCTCCAGAGGTAGTCAACTACCTGCTGTTGAGTTTCTTATGTATCTTCCTTTTCAAGTTTCCATGGCTATCTTGTTTGTTGTTTGTTTGGGGGAATGAAGGGCAACCTATCTCTTGGAATGGAATTCCTTTGTTACAAGCATCTCAACGAGGAAGCGTGAGCCATGCTGTATATGTACTGTAGCCTCATGATAGCCTTGATATTAACTTGTCTAGTGTGTTCTCATAATTTCTTGAGTAGGAACTGTTTTATCTTGGATAGTATAGCTAATTTTAAATATAGCAGAACTGCCTCAAATGTTTTTAGTAGGAAATAAATTATATAATGTGTATATGAATTTACATATTCATATACACTCACAGAAGAGCTAACAGTAGGGATCATTTTAGCAATATTGAATCATTCAGTTGTTTAAATCTTCGACCTCAGTAAAAAGTTCTTTTGCTTGCAGACATTTTTCCTTTCATGGATAGACTATCAGAATAATTTTGTTTTTTCATTCTGTCAGAGTCCTAATTTGGCAGTTCAGTTATTAATATGCCATTTTTAGGCAAGTTGACAACTAAGCATAACCTGAATTTTGTTAACATCAGATAAAACTCTGCCATATACCCCTCCACTAAATTATACATCCAGTTGTCCCTAACCTGTTTCTGGCGGGTTGATTCAACTCAGCAACCCTAAAGGACAGAGTAGAACTGCCTCCATAGGGTTTCCAAGGACGAGCTGCTGGATTCGAACTGCTGACTTTTTGGTTCGCAGCTGAGCTCTTAAGCAGTGTACCACCAGGGCTCCATCCAGTGGTTCCTGGAAGGTACTAGTTTAGGATTAACTACTTTAGGGGTGAGGGGGTTAATATTAGATTGCTCCTCCCTTTTTTTTCCACTCTGGTGTAAGATTACTATCTAGGAATATACTGTCAAGTCAAGTTCTGTATTTAAGTATTATCTGAAGGTGGTTCGGACCTGACCTGCTTAGCTGTGGTCAACAGAAAGGGATGTTCCAAGGTTCTCTGGGCCATCCCTAACCCACAGGGATCTGACCAGAGAACATCAGCCTAAGTTAACTTGGTGTCAGTTGGTTTGCTTCCTTGAGATCCGTAATGGATTAAAAATTTCACCATTGCTTGAGATGTAAAGGCCCCTTGGAAGAATAATGCTCCTGCAGATGAGGGTGAGAAGGGTTCATTGACTCTACACAAAGGACTTTTAGATTTTTCTCCAGTATTTCAATAAAAGTAACACTCACCCACCCCCCACCCCCCAGCCCCCAAAAAAAACTCAAGTTTTTTACAAGTTTTCAGTTTGTTGTTTTGGGTGAGGATGGAGACATACTTCCAATTTTTAGTTCGCAAAGATGGTAATTAATTGAACAAACAAATCCATCATATATTGATTTAAAGACAGAAGTCAAGTTTTAGAATTATAAAAATAAATTATATATTTTCTAATTCACACCCAGCTCTTCTCCTTTCTCCTTGTGGCTTCAAAGTTGTTGGCTGTTTTACAATGTTAGTCACTAGGTAATGTGCCATACTTCTAGTTCTATATTAAGCTCTACCCTTCACAATGCTATAGTGTAAAGTTGGTTCTCAGCATTTGTCTGTAGGAGCAGAAGCCTTGGTCAAGTCTCTGTTCTTTCTCCCAAAGAGCTTTTCCCAGTAAGTCAGTAATACCTGTTTGCTTACTCTCATTGTTCACATTCTTGGGTTGCTCAAACTAAAAAAAAAATTGAGGTGAGAAAGAATAAGGTCCTTTCTGGTAAATATATGTACCTACTTTAAGAATGTACTCATTTGTTTATGTACCTCGTATACACAGATTAAATTGGGAGAAATAATTACCACATGTTTAGCAAGTAGGTAACGTGCATGAATTTTGTTTTAACCCTATGTGTTGGCAAAATGCAAAACCTAAATTGATCATTTCTTAGACCAACTTTACCTCAGGCTTTATTTTGGTTTTTTTGACCCTAACCTTTCAGGCATAAATATCTGAGTCTTTTTAATAGTGATAGCGAAGCTCTGACATCAGCTATTTTTACAAAAAGTGTAAGACAAGAAAAACTATAGAGATCAGAATGAAAGCAGTTCTGCAGTTGCTGAGCTAGATCACAGCCTTGTAGGCAAAATAAAAATGTTCTTATCAAAGTATTCTTTTTTTGCCGTCTTCTCCCAAGGCCAGACTTTCTGGTGCAGCAAAGTTGAAAGTGACATAATTCTGGGGCCTTTGTAATCTGAAGGAAATATCTCCACTTGGCAGCAAGGATGTGGGAACTAGTTGACATGAGTCTTTTCGTCTAAAGAATATGAAAAGATGTACAAAACTGAATTTTTCATGTAACTCAAAATGATACAGTAAAATACTAAATAGTCAAAACCAGAAGAACCTCTGGCTGCATTATGAGACCAGTTCCCCTTTAGAGGATTTGTCTGAAAACAGGTTTGCTTGAGTATTCCCAACTGTGCTTAAAATTGACACCTTTAAATAAGATATTTCTGTGGAGTTCCTACCCCTTTATGCAAAAAGCTTAGAGGAACTACCTGTTTAGCAAGTGCCCTAAAAATATTTTTGTGCTGATGCCCTTGAAGGTAGCCTTATGCTTCTGAAGATTCGTGTTTTCCCTATCAGTGCTGTGAGAGGAGTGAGTGGTGTTCTTAGGGTGACCAACTGTTTTACTTTACTTGGGACTGAGGGGTTCCCTGGGTGCAGGACTTTTCACTGCTAAACCCAAGGAAGTCCCAGGTACACCAGGAAGAGTTGATCACCCTAGGCGTTCTTGTGTTTTACCCTCATTCCCTTACATTGTAGTAGTTGCGATTAAATTCAGCTGCCGTGTGATTGTCAGCATTTCTGATACTGGGATATGTGTCCTTCAATCATGTCCAATACTGTGTGGATTTTTAACAAACAGTAGCCAAAGGCACCAAAATGGTGGTGAGACTGACATTTAGAGATCCAGGGATGGAAACTGGAGGTTTAATGGAACAGAGAAGAAGGCAGCTAGACGGCTAAGTACTTTAGAGCCTGTGTGTATATGTGTATGTAACTACAAATCATATGTCCTTACAGGGTTAAATATAATCTGAAATTTAAATCTTTCACAGTAAAAGACAGCTTGAGTGGTTTCTGGATTTCTTCTCTCTCAAGGGAAAATAGTACCTGTGATGCTGTAGCCTCTACTACATTTCCCAGACTATCTTGTTCAAGAAGCCAAAATGTGGTATTCTACTTCTTTTCAATGAATGTTGTATTGAAAGTACGAAATACATCTTCCAATAGCAGGTGAAGGAATTGAATGTCCTGAGGAGGACTGAGTGGTTGCGCTCAGTTTTTATAGCGTCATACCCCTGAGGTGCTTACCAGCTAGAACACCGACCATGTGAGGTGAGAGTTCTCTAGCATGGCAGTGATTTTATAATGCAATATGGTGGGTGCGGCGTCTGTCGCGTTTTTCCTCTGGTATTTCTCCGTGACTCCGTTCTCTGTGCACTGTGATGTAGATGTGTTCTTTGTAAGCTTTAATACTACAATTGTCAACAGTACCATGTGGTTCAGGTTTTTTTTTCTTTTTTCTTTTTGTTTTTTTAATTAAACCAAGAGCTGAGGCTTTATTGCAGCTGGTTTTCAACTTAAAATATTGTGAAATACCGATTTCCTTCTCCCCCACCCACACCAAATATTTCAGTCTATTTAAAGTACAAAAGAAAATAGTTCTGCTTAAGAAAACATTGTTTAAATGTCCTGTGATTTCTGGTCAATTTTTATATATATTTGTGTGTGTCTGTACGTGCGTTCACTTTTTATCTTGTTTGCTCTCTACCTGTGTTAACAGTACTTTCACCATTGGAAGGTGAACTTTTTTCCTAGCATTAAAGAAATGCCATTTGAGTTGTTTACCATGTTATTATGGGACTAGTTTTTGTTTTAATTGATTTGAACTGATCTTTTTTTAGAAGGGAATATATTTTGGTGTCCACGCCCTGGATTATATAGAAACCAAAAATATATTTGTCATGTATATTTCGCATAGAGAAGTATATCAAGAGCACATCTTTTTATATTTTTAATTTAGTGTTACAGAAAAAGTTTATCCCCTCCCCCCAGCAGGCAAATATGCACTGCTTAATATACTCCCTGACACACACATCCCACAAGTACTAGTGAGTTATGCATTTTAGTCAATTTCAGCGCTTATCTATGCAAAATCAGTGATCTAGTACATAAGATATATACTGTATGCAAAAGCAAACTAGAAGGTGAAATTCATGTTTACTCTCAAAATGGAAATACACTCTTAGCAAAAACAAATACTGTTTTAAAAAAAGGCTTCATTGGAAAACACTAGGTAAGACATAGTCTACTCATAATTAGTTATATCACCAACATGAAATAATTGGAAAACTTGAGAAACTTTGTAGATCAGCCAAATGTGGATGAATTGGTATTTTCTTTGTTGGTAAGACTGCTTTCTTCGAACTCTTAGACATAGTGTAGGATGCACATGAGGGACCTCAAAGGCTGAAATACTCTACCCTACTTGGCAATGAATAGTCCAGGGCCTAGTGTGGTTTCATCAATGATAGTTTTTATTGGGGAAAAACCAATTTAAGCAAATCCTACTTAAATTGCTACACCATACAATTATATAAACAACATAAAGGAACATCCCAACATTGCACTACAGTATCACTTCAGTTGACAGATGATTAGCGGAAATCCTTGATTGTCATCTCACTCTGGGAGCACTTCTGCCAATGAGCATGCTGTAGTGACACTGGTTATCTGCACCAGGAGCTTTTTGTAACAAGCCTAGTATCCTTAATTCCACATGTTCACAAGTGGATGAAAAGTAGAAGAGATACAGTATATGGCAGATGTTTGGGTTTTCTGCCCATTTGGAATACCCATTTTTTCTCCTTTGCTTCCAAATAGATTGAAACCTCCTTAGAAAGCAGGCATGTTGGTATCAAACTCTGATTGTCTCCCAGGGCAGTCTTAAGCACCAGGTCCTAGAGTGAAGGTCAGTCAGTACATTAGCTACTCAAGAACATATTTACACTGTGCAGTTGTCAAGCTTCCTTCTTAATGGACATCAAAATATACAAGAAGAGCCCAACCGAAAAATCAGAAGTTCACAAACACAGGAATCCAAAAGAAACAGTCATTGGCATACTTAACAAGAACTGTCTTTGGTTACTACTACATTGAATAGGTACGTAAACATTTGTAGAATCAGTTTAACTGATGATGATGTAAAAAAAAAAAACAGATGGCATGCTAGTTTGTATATAGAAGACTTGCAATAATCTTAAAGTCAACCACATTAATAGAAGGGCAACAACAGTGAATCAGACTTACAGGTAACAAATTCAGTATAAGCCAAGAACAGACTAAGCATGCAGGAAGGTAAAAGAGAATAATAGACCGTGCTCCAGTCCAAAGTATGACCTTATTGGTTATAAAATAAATGAAGTTTGAGACAGGGATTTGCCACACTTTATACTGTCTTCAGTAGTTTTGTTGGCTGCTTCTGTGCCTTTTTTAATGCTTTGTGGTAATAACATTACTTAATAAAATATACTTAAAACTAAATATATATATATATATAGTTTGAGAAAGATGTGATCACAGAGGAAGGAAGAGATGGCTCTGAATGATGTGGTTTGGGAAGAGGGTGGATGAAATACACTTTAAGGTCAGTGTTCAAGGATACATTGAATTTGGATAGATGGAGAAGACTTCAGACACTGGTCAAGATGAGGTCTTGGGACAAAACTCTTGCATGTGAGTCAGTGTGCAAGGAAATGGCATTACTGCGCTACTGCTGTGTGGTGTGCTGCCCAACTACAAAGTTGGTAGGTGCTACTGTGAAGCACACATCTAATAGGGAAAAGCTATAGGTGTACACTTTAGGTTTCATAATCTACAGTGAGGTCCTAGTACTGAGCAGGCAGCCTGGGGCAAAGGCTCTGAGAATACCAGCTGTAACCCCAGGCCAAGGATGGGCTACGTGTTTAGGGGAAGTGAGGGTATTTGCTACATACATACCAATGGGGTGTGTGTGTGTGTGACTTTTTGTGCTCCCTTACAGCTGGAAATTATTAACCTAGAGACCTCCCCACCCCTGAAATTTTATGTAGCATTTTGTGTATGTCTAACAGCGACTTGCCATTGAGACTATCTTACCTGATTTAAAATCTTTAAAACGGTTTTTTCGTGAGAGATCTTATTGCTAAACACCAACCCGTGTTATTGGCGGTATTTGACCACACTATTTTAAATACACGTGATAAGTAAGTAAGATTTTAGTACAAAAGACCCACTTTTAAATGGTTATTTGCACTTTTATAGTTTGTTGGGGCTGCATTGGAAAAAAATGAAGATTTAAGCAAGCCTAGCTTCACATCTGGAATAAAAGTATTTTGTAGGAATGTCTAGGCTGCCATTTTATATTGAAAAAACAGATGAAATGCCTTTGTTTTACCCAAGAACCACAAACTACTTTGTTCCAACTTTTAAATCAAGATCTTGAATAATAGTATGTGGTATCACCACATTTTTAAAACGTATTTAGTCAGTCACAAACACATTTTCTAAGGAATTGAATTTTATAGAGATAATTGAATGCTTTCATCTGTAACAATTACTGGCCTGCAGACCACTGTAGTTTCTTGCTATGCTCTGAAGTTAAAGGGTGAATTTTCTGCTACAAGTTACATGCATAAAGTATGCTGCAAAAGGAAATTCAGTTTTTTTAATTCTAAAGTGAAAACGACTGACAAAAATGTTACGCTCCAGATAACCAATTTTCAACTAAAGCATTATTTTCCTGTCCTTTGTCATTCCAATGCCCAGGTGCTTATTAAACCTAAGTATCAAATGTACCCATTGCCATTGAGTCGATTCTGACTCATAGCGAGTTAAATAGGACAGAGTAGAACTGCCCCATAGGGTTTCCAAGGAGCGCTTGGTGGATTTGAACTGCTGACCTTTTGGTTAGCAGCTGTAGCACTTAACCACTATGCCAACAGGGTTTCCAGTATCAAATAAAAGTTAATAAAATTAAGCTAGGTTTGGTAAGCTGAATTATGAGGCCCAAAGGTTTTAGCAATGCCTTTGTAACTTGTCATATGGTGCAATTCTTATTTGCCAAAGCATCACCTTAACTCTATGTCCTGCTTCCCCTTTTTCCCAGTCTGCCCCTACCCCCCTGCAGCTAACCTCTTAGAAAACTCAGGATGTTTCATTGGTTTATTTTTTAAGAACCAAGAACAGGAAAAGGAGAAATGTCTAAGAATCTGGCTTGTTCTTAATGTATTCTTTAAAAGATCACCTTTGAAAAGGGATGCATATTATTTGTGTGTCCACTCTTACCCAATTTATATTTTAAGACAGAGTGTATTTTTTCTAATCAATATAGCCACCAAGAAACAACTAATCTTCAAATTCACAATTTACATAATCAGTGACTGGCTGGAGACGGGTATTGAACATAAAACCCTTTAAGAGAAAACTGGGAAATGGAGAATCTATGATTTATTCTCTTTGGTTGTCTGGCTATTTATCGACTGGGAATAGCAGTATCTTAAAGGCCATTTAACCAACAAGAATGCTAAGGATGGAATACTTAAAACAGTTCTGTAATGGTCAAATATTTCAGTTATCTTGGATGGCGGGATTAAAAAAAAACAAAAAAAAACTCTCAATTGCCTTCTCTGAACAAACTTTTTTACTCTTTAGTGACTGGTTAGAATACCATTCTACTCGTGTTAAGCCTTGGTTATCACTTCTGATGTAATGGAAAATGCAACTAGGAGAAGTCTTGGGTCTGAGTCCTCTTTCTGTCAATTTATGCTACCATAGATAAGTCATTTAATTAGTCTGCCTCAAGTTCTCATTCTCAAAATGCGCAAGTTACTTTGTAGGGTGGTTCAGGGATTAAATGAGAACCCTTGAGAGAGCGCTTAACACAAAGTGGTTGCTCAGCGTTGGATGAGTGAATCTACACAGTCTGCAGACTATCGGGAGATGGTAACAGTGACAGGCCTTCCTACCAAATCTTTCTCTCAGAAAGTTTCAAGAGAGATGTCAAATAAGTTAAAATCTATTACAGCAATTACCTGTTGCCACAGAAGTAATGCATAATAACCACAAAGCCTCAATGGCCTACAACAATAAACATTCATGTGGTTTATGAGCTGACAGGTCAGCAATTTAGGCTGGTCATCTCTGGGCAGTTCTAGTCGGCTGGCTTACTCACATGTCTGGGAGTTGGCTTCGACTGGAGCGACTCAGCCTTTTTCCACATATCTCTCATCCTCCATTAGACTAGCCCACGCATGTCTTCATGGAGGTGGCAGAGGGCAACAGCAACCAATCCCAATCCCACAAGCGCTTTTCAGGTCTTGCTCACCAGCTTTCACTCAAGCCACACGACTAAGCGCAGAGTGGAAAGGCACTGCAATGGTAAATGGGGAAGGATTGGGAAGATACATACAGTCAACCAAGCCCATGCCTTGTGTCTGAGAGGTGGTTGTATTTGTCAGAAAAGAGTGGAAAATGGAGAGATCCCAAGCTGAGTGAGTCTTAATAGAGTGACCTATTTGGTTCAAAGTGTTTTTAATTCATAGAGCATTAAATGGAGGTCTATACACCGAGAAGGTGAGTTAAAACCAAAGGAGTGTGTAATCAGTTTACTCTGTAGTAGAATCCTTGCTACTGCTCCTTAATGTTATCACATGACCAGGAATGAACCCCCTCTGAACTCTGAGCCTGGATTGTACAGAACTAGAAGAGTCTGCTTCACAGATGAGGTAGAAGGGATCGTTCAATGTAGAGACAACTTTTAATGATGAACATTTACATTCATTAATGCCACATCGGAAACCTTTCTAGGACTTCTTACGCAAAGATGCTATATACCTTCTGTATTGTACTCCATGTCAGCCATTTTTAGAAGCATGGAGTGCTTTAGAGAAGTTTCACCAATAGATTGTCGTAACTCTGACGCTGTAATTTTAGAAAACAAAATGCCACAATCACCTGTGGCCTGTTCATATCCCAAGTATCAAATTGCCTGGAGAGTCTGAAGTTCCTGGTACTGAGGAAGTTAGGAAGTGAGCTGCTCTTAGGTGATGAGGCTGTGCTTGGTAGAAGGTGGAGTTGTCATCAGCCATCAACTTCTGTGTGCCCAGCATTTTTTTACCAAAAATTTCAGGGAAAATATATTTCTCCCTGAATACACATTTAACTGGGCTTCTTCCCCACACCCGTCTTTAATGGTCACACAACCCCTTTTGATGATCGCAGTGTAAATACACAGAAATATCATGACCTTTTACTGGCAGCCCAGCAGATGGGACTTTAAAAAAGAATTTACTTTTTTTTGTTGTTGTTACAGGTTTCAAATTCTTCAATAAACGCATTACTTTATAAAATGCAAAAGCACCCACAAAAAAATCACCCAGATTCCAACACCCAGAGAAAACCAGTTTGGTGGGTCCCCCCACCCCCCCGCCAGTCTTTGCTTTGAATACATATATATTCAACAGGAAATGTTTGAAGTTTCCCAAACAAGCACATTCAGTTGGAAAAATCTATTGCAAATCATAAGAAAAATCTCTAAAATGTATTAAGCCATTCAGCGAGCCACAATGGACATGTAAAATTTTTTTGTTGTTTTTTTTTTTAACTTGCCTTGAGGCCCACAAAAGATCGAGGTTGGTCTACTTAAAATTTTCTGTTTGAAATTAAGTATAAAAAATTTAAATGTGCATTTCATGCATGAGTTTCCTTGTATATACCCTAAATTGAGTATACTTTGATTAGTATTTGGAACCAAACATTTCTTTGTCTTCTCTCTTGCAAGCATCCCAAAACAAAAATGCAGTGGGACCAAAGAATTTATTGATCAGCTGACAGTAAGTGTTTAAATATAGTGAGCATAGGAAGTATATTGAACATACACGGTATTAAACATGCCTAGTTAATCACTAATATTACTTTAAAAAATTTGTGGTTACTTGTTAATGTTTTGATCAATTGTTTAGGCAGTTATTAGGCTAAGATCTATCTTTGCTTATTTTCCAACTTATATTATCCAAAAGCAGTATTTTCAGGTTGGTTGTAATATATTTTTTTAAGCTACACGATTTTATAAGAACATTTCCTTGTAAAAATAAAACATTCTGAACAATACATAAAACCAAAATAAAAAAACCAAACCTGTTGCCATTGAGTCAGTTCTGGCTCATAGCAACGCTATGT